GGTTTTGGGGTGCGGGGGGGGGAGGGCAGCGCCCGGGGGGGTCCCAGCCCCAATTTTGGGGTCCCAACCCCCCTTTTGGGGGTTCCCTCCCCCTTTTGTGGGGTCCCACCCCCATTTTGGGGTCCCATCCCCATTTTTTGATGTTTTCCCCCATTCTTTTATGTTTTCTCCCCATTTTTTGAGGTTTTCTCCCCATTTTTTGAGGTTTTCTCCCCATTTTTCGGGGTTCTCTCCCCATTTTTTGAGGTTTTCTCCCCATTTTTTGATGTTTTCTCCCCATTTTTCGGGGTTCTTTCCCCATTTTTTGGGTCCCAGCCCCCCCGGGATGGTTCCTACCCCCATTTTTGGGGTCCCAACCCCATTTTTTGACGTTTTCTCCCCATTTTTTGAAGTTTTCTCCCCATTTTTCGAGGTTTTCTCCCCATTTTTTAAAGTTTTCTCCCCGTTTTTTGAGGTTTTATCCCCATTTTTTGGGGTTCTCTCCCCATTTTTTGGGTCTCAGTCTCTCGGGGTGGGTTCCCATCCCCATTTTTTTAGGTTTTATCCCCGTTTTTTGAGGTTTTCTCCCCATTTTTGACATTTTCTCCCCATTTTTCGAGGGTTTCTCCCCATTTTTCGGGATTCTCTCCCCATTTTTCGGGGTTCTCTCCCCATTTTTTGACGTTTTCCCCCCATTTTTTGACTTTTCCCCCCATTTTTGGGGTTTTCTCCCCATTTTTGCCGTTTTCTCCCCATTTTTCCCCTCCCCAGCGAGCGCGTGCTCTGCTCCGCCCGGGCCTCGGTGCTGCTCTATGGGGGGGTCCCAACCCCACTTTTGGGGGTCCCAGCCCCATTTTTGGGGTTCTCTCCCCATTTTTGGGGGTCCCAGCCCCATTTTTGGGGTTCTCTCCCCATTTTTGGGGGTCCCAGCCCCATTTTTGGGGTTCTCTCCCCATTTTTGGGGGTCCCAGCCCCATTTTTCTGGGTTCTCTCCCCATTTTTGGGGGTCCCAGCCCCATTTTTCTGGGTTCTCTCCCCATTTTTGGGGGTCCCAGCCCCATTTTTCTGGGTTCTCCTGCTCTATGGGGGGGTCCCAGCCCCATTTTTGGGGTTCTCTCCCCATTTTTGGGGGTCCCAGCCCCATTTTTTGAGGTCCCACCCCCATTTTTTGATATTTTCTCCCCATTTTTTGCGGTTTTCTCCCCATTTTTCAGGGTTCTCTCCCCATTTTTGGGTCCCCAATCTCATTTTTTGATGTTTTCTCCCCATTTTTTGACGTTTTCTCCCCATTATGGGGGGTTTTCTCCCCATTTTCTGTCCCCCCCCCAGCGAGCGCGTGCTCTGCTCCGCCCGGGCCTCGGTGCTGCTCTGTGGGGGGGTCCCAGCCCCATTTTTCGGGGTTTTCTCCCCATTTTTTTACGTTTTCTCCCCATTTTCTGTCCCCCCCCCAGCGAGCGCGTGCTCTGCTCCGCCCGGGCCTCGGTGCTGCTCTATGGGGGGGGTCCCAGCCCCATTTTTGGGGTTCTCTCCCCATTTTTGGGGGTTTTCTCCCCATTTTTGGGGGTCCCACCCCCATTTTTTGATATTTTCTCCCCATTTTTTGCGGTTTTCTCCCCATTTTTCAGGGTTCTCTCCCCATTTTTGGGTCCCCAATCTCATTTTTTGATGTTTTCTCCCCATTTTTTGACGTTTTCTCCCCATTTTGGGGGGTTTTCTCCCCATTTTTCGAGGTTTTCTCCCCATTTTTTGACGTTTTCTCCCCATTTTTTGACGTTTTCTCCCCATTTTTGAGGTTTTCTCCCCATTTTTTGCCGTTTTCTCCCCATTTCCCGTCCCCAGCGAGCACGCGCTCTGCTCCGCCCGGGCCTCGGTGCTGCTCTATGGGGGGGTCCCAACCCCACTTTTGGGGGTCCCAGCCCCATTTTTGGGGTTCTCTCCCCATTTTTGGGGGTCCCAGCCCCATTTTTTGCCGTTTTCCCCCCATTTTTCCCATTCCCCCCCCCAGCGAGCGCGTGCTCTGCTCCGCCCGGGCCTCGGTGCTGCTCTACGACGAGGGGCAGAAGCTCTGGGTGCCCGCGGGGGGGTCCCCGCCGGCGGCCGGGGGGGGGTCGCCCCCCCAGGGCCCCCCCGGCTGCGTGCAGCTGCTGCAGCACCCCGGGGTGCTCGGCTTCCGCCTGCTGGGGCGGCGCGCGGGGGAGGGGCGCCCGGGGGGGACTCGGGGTTCGCCGCCGCCATCGCGGGGGCCCGGCTCAGGAAGGTGGGCAAGGTGAGCCATTAATTGATTAATTAGCTCATTAATTGGGTTAATGACTCATTTATTAGGGAACATGTGTATTAAAAATTAAATTAAATGAGTGAAATTAGTTAAAATAATTAAATTAATGAAGTTGGTAGCACGGGGACGTCCCTCAAGGCGAGCCCAGGGGGATAATGAGTGAATTAATTAATGAGTTATTAAGTTAATTAACAATTAGTAGTTAATTATCTGTTAATGGTTAATTTTTGTTTTCTGTAATTATTATTATTTATTATTGTTAATCAGTTATTTTTAATGATTATTAATTAATTGAATAGCTAATTATTATTTATTTATTAATAATTAGTAATTAGTTATATATTAGCGATTCATTTTTATTTATTATTATTAACCAGTTATTTTTAATGATTATTAATTAATTGAATAGCTAATTATTATTTATTTATTAATAATTAGTAATTAGTTATATATTAGCGATTCATTTTTATTTATTATTATTAATTATGTATTAATGATTATTAACAGGTTATTTATTAATGATTATTAATTATTGACTGATGATTATTAATTATTACTGGCTATTAATGAATTATTTATCTAGCAATACTTGTTACTGATGTATTCATGATTATTAACAGGTTATTAATTACTATTAATTAATTATTGGTTAATGATAATTAATTATTTATTACTGATAATTAATTATTTATTTAGTAATAATTATTACTGATGTATTAATGACTATAGACAGGTTATTTATTAATGGCTGTTAATTAATTGAATAGCTAATTGTTATTTATTGATAAATAACTAATAATTATCTATTACTGATTAATTTTATTTATTAATTATTATTATTACTGATGTACTAATGATTATTAACAGGATATTTATAAATTATTAGTAACAGATCATTAATTAATGATTATTAATTAGTCATTAATTATTAATTGATTGGTTTCCCCTCCCCCCGCAGGAGGAGCCGCCGGGCGGGGGCGGGGCGGCCGCGGCCCCTCCCCCCAAGGGGGGGCTGATGTAGATCATTAATTAATAATGATCAATTAGTCATTAATTATTAATTTATTGATTTCTCCCCTCCCCCCGCAGGAGGAGCCGCCGGGCGGGGGCGGGGCGGCCGCGGCCCCTCCCCCCAAGGGGGGGCTGATGGAGGAGATGAGCGCCATGCTGGCCCGCAGGTGGGGGAGGGGCTCAGCTCGGCGGGGGGAGGGGCCCCGCCCCCCTCCCCTCCCCCCCCG